TGATAAGACAAAAAGAGAAAATCATCTTGTGATGATATATTTATAAACACTGTACCTACAGGGGAAAGAGTACATTAAAGGAACGATGCAGCATTTGCATTTTTCGCTAAAATATCGAATTTCCCACGGCTTAATCCACGCTAATATGGACTAAGATTATTTGATTTTTAATTAAGAAATCAAAATCCTAACGCTAAATAATATTCCGGTTTGGATTCAATCAGATTTAAAACAGGCGTACAATAAATTTTCACAGACAATATAATGGCGGTGGGCTTATTACATAGCGATGCAGCATAGATCGATAAAATTTTAATTCAATATATTATCTTTGTAAATACTTTACCATTTTTGGACTGATATTCCTATTGGAGATTCATCATTCACTATATTGTAGTTTTTGTAAGTGATTCCTATAGCGCTTAAATGGCGCATCGGCACTTTAAGTAAAACGTCATTTATTAGTTTTGTTGGTGTTATCGCCTGTTTTGGGAAGAGTGAGCATTCCGCTTTTCACGACAGGCATTAAATGCATCTGTTCACGACCACCTGTGGAGAGGGACGCGGCATTACCGTTTTATATCGTTTATATACACATGTAATCATCCGTTTGATACAGAGATACCGATATCCATATTTATAGGTCAACGTGTATAAATTTAAACTAAAGGGTATATGCTTCTACGGTAACAGGAGCAACGGTGGCTCAGGGATTAAGACGTTGGCTCGCTAATCTGGAGGTCCCGTATTCGATCCCTGTGTTGGCCGAGAAAGTTCATCGGCATTTTCCGGCGTGGTTCCTCGTTGTCAGTGATGCAGGACAGAGGGCCGGACAAGAGACAACGTATAGTCGTTCGGATGGGACGAAAAACCGAGGTCCCGTGTACATATTGGTGTGCACGTAAAAGGTCCCTTGGCAGTTGGAAAATGCTGATGAACTTTTTTTGCCAACGCAGGCGTATGTCCTCTTAATTATCCCAGTCAGAGCAGAACAGTAGGATATTAAACCCCATTTCATTTATTGATTTGTACGGTAACAGCTTCCTAGTGTATATCAGTCTACAAATAAAACCACGGTGACACTTTTTATATACCCTAAAAACCTCTCAATTGTGTCAAGGGGTGGACTGAGAAAGAGTCTGTGAGTATAATGGGGCTCGGGGTCTTAAATAAGTTCATGTTTTTGCGTAGTTTTGGGACCCTTTTACTTAGGACATGTACTAGAAAGCACCATTTAAAAACACCACTACTGTGAAGTCTGGTTTGTAATACACTAAGAATTAACCCAACTCTCTGTTCAGCATTATGTTTACTCCACTTTAATAAGTCATGCCTAAACTGAAAACAACTTAAAACGTGGTTCTTAACTAAATCTGTAAAAATAAAAACAAAGGTCTCTGGATCAGTAGGTCTAATTTACATAGATTTGTTATTGAATTGCGAATCTTTTAGGTCGTCGTTAAAACGAACATTATATTCCACGTGGGAACCAAGCGAATAGAATTTACGTGACATACGTCATTAATTTGTGTGTATGGCGTGATGATTTTTGATTGAGTTTCGACAGAATCTTCATCTGTTGTATTACTGCTTCTTGTACAAATTGATAACCAAGTAATTGAGAACTTTCTTGGAATAAAAAAAGGAAGATTTAGCCAATAATCTTTTTCATTTTAAGTTATATTGAGAAAACTAAATTTATTTTTAAAATGAAAGCCAGATTTCGTATACTATTGCTAGTCATCTAATATAAATGTCAAGTGTACATATCCCAAAACGGTAGAAAATCTATGAAATGACAATGGGTGGTACATGAATACACATCCTTTGTGACTCCTGGCTCCTGGCGTTTGATAAGCATACCAATATATTCACGAGTTCCAATTCTGCATCGATTTTAACCACTTTAACCCAATCAATTTTTAGCTATATGTACAATGAAAAGTGCAATTACTGCCATGTCATAATGTATGTATCACTATCGACTCACCTGAAGCCGGAATTCACTTTAGTATTGCCGTAATAATACTTTAGTGGGTTTTTTTATGTTGTCTTGTTCACCTAGTGCCTGTCGTGTAAAGGCAGATAACTGTGTTTTAACAATCTTTTAAAGAATCTAAAATCGGTTTCAATTTGTCCACAAAAGGTCTTTAGTCTAGTCATTTTATGAGTCAACTTTAAAAAAATTGTATCATAAATTAATTTTCCAAAATTGATGATAACCCACCTAAAGTCGCTAAACTCGGGCGTGTTGTGTTTGTAAGGGAGATAACTAAATACCTGGTAATTGGTAATTCTCTTCATCGATATTAATGTTGAATCCATGCCATTCCTTGGTCTTTATATTATATGTACTTGTTAGGACAGGAAGAAAAACAAGGTCCTCTTAATACGTTGACGTGCACGTAATGCAACCATTGACAATTAGAATTCTACGAAGAGTAGGTGGAAACGCCGCAAAATTTCCCCCACAACACACTGCACATTGCAAGCTGGTCTTGACCGGTTGGTGCAGAAAAACAACACATGCAACTAGATCAGCATATATGCAGTGTAAGAGTCACGTTAATGTATCCAATCAAGAAGTTACAATTACTGACTTCGTCTACTTGCGATTTTCTCTTTGGCGGAGTCACGCATTTTGTTTGGCATTTGTTCACGTTATATATTTAGCCCCCTCCCCCTTCATGATGTTCAGAAGTCAGACCTATCCCGTTTTAAAATAATGGTCGTAGCGAAAGCTTTTAACGCTTCAATTTAAAAGATATGATCTGTACTAGTGTCAGATATAATTATATCCTGAATTGTAGTTGGGTATGACCGGAATGTAATAAATAACTATAATTAATCGTACTTTTGACGAAACAATTGACAGTTTTGTTTTGTGTATTCCGACGTGATTCACATCTGCATCTCCCAAACAGAACTATATAGTACCGTCTCTTATGACGAGATACGCAGGGTCGAGATATGAGGTTTCTTATCTAAGGTCAGACATATTCGGAACCTATCTTATATACTTTTCTAACAAATGCGATTAATCATTCATTTATTAAAACACAAGATCTAAAGTAAGAACACTCGGGTTGTATTAAACAGTCACATTCTAATGTTCCTTTCCGGTATAGTTTAAAACCTTAGTTTGGTTACGAAGAAAACACATGTCAGTTTCGACTCAATAGTGGCTGATATGACCCAAGAAAGCAAAGCACGCGGATCTATCCGATAGTCCTTGAAAACTAAAAGCCGTTGACTAATCATGAATCTCTGACGTTTTTGTTTTGCTAATGTTATGTGCAGTAGCTAACTGTCCCGCATTATTGTGTCGAGAACAGCACCAGCTTTATCTGGGATAGTCACTCCACAAGGGCGGCCAGACCATGGTTTGTCGTCGGTGTTGATCCCGCCCCTTGTAAATTCAGGACACAACTGTTTGTCATCGTGAATTTGCTTTGTCGTTAACTTTTTCACATGAAGGTACTTAATCACGATCCTACATTCGGTTTTCTTCAGTTTGAGAGCAAGTGAAATAATCACAATGTTTGACAGATAGGAAAATATAGCACGTAGAATTAATGTTGTACCTGTCAAGCACATACTGAGATACATTTCTATGAGCAGATTGGCTGAGTTTGGGCGATCTATTTATGGTAAGGCCAAGAACGCCTGTTAACCCCTCGTACCACCATAAAACATGTCCATGCATTACACGGATGTACACAAGACTATTAATATTGTTAAACTATACGAGATTGGATCTTAAATGAACAAGACCTATACCCAGTCTGCGTTTCGGATAATACATGTCAGATCATTTACTGTTATACACAGCATGTAATTCCAAGGAATACAATTAATGATCATTATTGATATACTTTTCGATGAGGCTTCTGTACTCTTTATTGAAATGTATCTCAGTAATAAACAATAATTGTAGTCCATAGAATTGTGTCCTGTGCATTTCCAGTTCAATTACTAAATTATAGTATCGAAACAAGTTATATTTTAGGTGCAACGCGCCAATATTATGTTAAAAGCTGTTAACTAGAGGGTGTTTTAAAGCGTGAAGCGTTTAGTTTTGCACTGGAGTGGATAACATTGTCCAAGGCTTTCCAAAAATTGTTTCAACTATATTAAACGGTTCTCCTTTCTACAAATGTGTGTGAGTTCCTAATATTAAAGACACTGGAGACAAGGCTATATTACTTTCTTGGCAAAGGATGGGGATGGGACGGAGGGGGGGCAGTCTGTAAATGACTTAACTTAAACAAATAGTTCAATAGTAATACGTATTAATTAATTGTATGGTTATACACATATCCATACTTATGGTGATAAACTTTATGCCTATCTTCGACACTGTATGGCGTATGTCTGACTTTTGAATATTTTAAGGCGACATTTGATAACCAAAGTATTAATGCAGTTGTTCTTTGTGTGTGTGGCAAATGTTCAATAACAGGAAATTGGTGAAAAGACAAATTCATGTGTTCTTTTTATATTATTATTTCTGGTTCATGAAATAGGTTTTACATAGCAGCCGGAACAGTTGACAATTGATATATCGTGTAAACTCCCTTATATATCAAAAAAATATGCCATAATCAAAACTATCTAACAGATACATAATTCCCATTGATCGATGAAAACTACCCATGTTGAATTCTGTAATAATAAACCGATTGAGCAATACATAACAAACACGTGTGTAGAGTATGCGTGAATGAACAATGCTAGGATATGAATGAATTGGTAATTATTGTGTGGTAATTGATAATTTCGGGTTTTGACTGAGGAGGAATTGACTTTCACACTGAACTGAGTTAGTAGAATATGAATTAAGGATATTTATATTCGTCTTAATGTAATCTGTGATTCCACATAACTTTGTCGGTAAGAGCTTTTAAATTGAATATGGTAATGACGCTGATCGCCAGAACAACCCTTGAATGTCATGTCCAGTCGGGGTGCTTTCTTTCCTAAAGTGCTGGGAGGCAGTATTCTGACCAAATATTATTTCCGTAAAGATATGAGTGGGCGCATTTTTACCTTGGTAGTTTTATAGCTTATTGTTATAGTTTGATCTGTGACTGTCGAGTGCATAGTTTGATCTTTGACGGTCGTGTGCGCAATCTTTTTGTGGGTATATAGAAGGTTTTTTTGTTTATATATAATTTTAAACCAAAGGATTGAACTGAGATTTTTAAGCACAGCTCAGGTATGTTCCCTTTTAATCTAATTTCAGTACATACGAGAAAATGTATATAAAATGAAATGAATAGGGTTTAGCGGCCCGACCCTCTTTTCTTCAAGAATCGGGATTAAGAGGAAAAGTTAGTTTGGACAGTGGCGTTTCAGCCTTCTAAAATATATATGTTTTTGGGAACACTACTAGCTACATCAGATATAATTTGTCATATAGATGCCGCATGATGCTTTTGGAGCACAGGGCTGATAGAGACAGTAAATAGTAACGTCCTTTAAGACCAAATTTATTTAAATGGTAATATTTTAACGTTATGAATCAAAAATTCTGTAGTAAGTAATGCAATAATTTATGTTCCCGGTATTATTATTAGGGTTACATACTGTGTAATTGGTGTGAAATACTATTGTGTTGGATTATTATTGTTACTGTGAAAAGTGGATAAGACTTGATGGATAAAATCATTTCGATTATGCGAAATCGTTAATTTTGATTTTTGTAAAAAAAAAAAAAAAAAGAAATAATGATAAAAAAGATACTTTGATTGTCAGATTTCAAATTGTTGCACCAAGAAACAACTTTGGGGTTACTTATATATTAGAAAAGAAAATACGCATAAAACAAATGATTAATTTCTTGATACCGTTTTCGATTTATGGTTATTTTGGTTTTAAAGTGTTGAACAAAGACAAAATTACCCTTTTTAATGGCATATAACTTTTTTTATTTTTATACGTAGACATTACTATATTGTTCGTCCGTCCGTCCGTCCACAATTTGTTTGTGGGCAGTCTAAAGGTTGCAATTTTTATCCGATTTTGACGAAAATTGATATATAGGTTTATCTCCCAAAATTCTCAGTTCCTTTAGATTAAAGATCAAATAAAATTTGAAGACAAAAGAATTATGGACCTACGATGCACTTCTGTGCGAAAATAGGCACATTCACCAATTTTGCAGTTATACTTACTAAAAATAATTTCACTGAACTCAAATACTGCCAGATCAAATAAAATTTAATGATAAAATTTTTATGGACCTACGATGCACTTCTGCGAAAAAAATCGGCACATATATTTTAAAGGGTCACCAATTTTGCAGTTATACTTCGATTTTTAACTTCTCTTACCGGCAACTCTTTGTGCCGACACATGGAGTTTTTCTGTAATATGGGACCAGCGGCATCAATGGTTCCCCTCAATTGGTAATGCTATTTCTCTCACTCTACCCTGTCCCGAACTTAGTATGATGATCCATGTTGACTTAGTTAGCTAGTTGGCCCCAAAGCCCTGCATATCTATATACGGCTTTGGTTGGCCCGTGCAGATGACGTCACAATAATCAAAAGGAGATCAATTGAAAAAAGTATTTATTTGCGGTTTAGTCTGTATTTAAGGGAACTAATTTTTTCCAGGTTACTGTAGTGTTTAGAATATTTGCACATTGAGTAGGGTCATCAATCTTCATATAAAGGGAAGTATCATTAGCGAAAAGCCAAAAACATTCGATGTAATATCATTCACAATGTCATAAATGAGAAAAAGAAGAGGCTCGCGAACAGAGGGAAACGCCCGAGAGAATGATTTTAGGGGAAGATGAGACACCCCCAGTCGCCTTTGTCGGACCCTGTCAAATGCTTTACCTATGTCACAGAACACTGCTCTTGTGTGGGATCCCTGGTCAGTGACTTGACACAAGTGGTGTGCGATATATGTAAGTTGGTAGACAGTAGAATCCCTATGCAAAAAGCTCCTCCGGGGGTAGATAAAACAGAATTGTCTCTTGGGAAGTTAAAAACATTTTTATAAATGCATTTTTAGAATATTTTAACTAGGATACTAATTAAATATATGGGTTTATAATTTCGACAGCCTGGTAGGTCACCACTTTTTAAAATGTCAGTTAGACATTAGAAAATTTCCAGATATTTGGTACTGTTTTCGAAAGGAGGGAGTAGTTAAATAATTTACATAGATGTTCAGAATTATTTTTAGATATTAATTATTAGTCTTCCGCTGATGTTGTCGGGTCTATTAGCTTTCGAGCAACCAGTGGTAGAAATGCTGTGTTCAACTTCCTTCTGGCTGAGAGTAATGTTTGTTAGAAAGTAATATTTCTAGTACAGAAAGTTGTTCCTACCTATGTTAGACTGGCTTATAAAAAGTCATTAAGGCAGTTACATTAATTTATCAGATTGGGTGCAATATTTAGTGTCGTTTAAAGATAAATTCCCGCGTACAAACTGGATGATTTGGTGATATATTTGAACTAAAAACATATTCAAACTAATTTATCTATCAAAAGTTTGCTTCAAATCATTCTCAAAACATTGTATTCGCGAGGAAATACCCAGAGCTATATAGAATCTATTAAAAGGAAGTCATGTTTGCGTCACGTGACTTGGCTGAAGCGGTACCTAGAAATGGGTGCGAAGCCAGGGTAGAATTCTTTGCATATTAAAGACAGTGCTATCTTTAATCGCTGTCCATTTATCATAAATATCGAAGCCTTATTAAATTCTCGGATTATTCATTGCCCACGTTAGACCATAGGCTCGGTGCGCGGGGGTGTCCATCATATGGGTACAAAACCAGGCCCAACTTTTCTATAGTAAAATTTTGCCTAGAATACGTTGGGGCGTTAGCGAGATATTCGGGGTCAAATGTCAAATGAGGTTATTTACACGGAAACTAAATGCGGAGTCATTCTTGTATCATGAAAACATGCTGAAAATTATGGAAAGTAATCACTATTTCAATAAAAATATAAGCTTGTTAAATTCACCTTGTTCTTTGTGACCCCGTGTATAAATGTGTATTAAATCACAATTTAATAAAAAAAAAATGATTATCTAATTTAACAAGTAAGGGTGGATGATGTGGGTGGAACAAATCTGTGGACGTCTGTTCACATTTGTTCGTGGACATTCAACAGGTCACAATTTTGTTCCGATTTAGACGAACCTTGAACTATAGGTTTACATCCCAAACATCTGAGTTCCTATCGAAATTGGCATGCGTCGGACCGTAACTTCATGGAGTATTGCCCCTGATTGTTCGAAACATCGCGTTTTTAACACGTGGACACTCTTGGGGTTACAATTTTTATCCAATTTTGATAAAACTTAAAATGTATGTTCTGTCACCGTTCACGTATGTCATTGTGTCACCATATGTAATACGTATTTCAAGGTTGTGGAACCTCTAGAGGCCACAATTTTTGTTCGATTTAAATGAAACTTGACGTATGTGTTATTTTCGTTATGCCCCCTGCCTTATACGTAAAATGTGAAATTATGTACAAAGTTTGTGACCCTTCAGAAACCCCTAGCCTTTTACGCAAAATGTCTGATTCAGATGAAACTTAATAGGTCTTAGAGGCTTTTATTGCGCATCAACTCTAACTTCGGGAGTTATACCCCTGCCGTTTACGCAAAATTCGAAATATATATACACAGTTTGTCGTTCCTCCATGAAACTTCACATAATATATGGGGAACAGATCTCCAATGAGTTATGGTGTTTTTAAGCGATCTTTTTCTAATTTGATGTGAAGCACTGGGTTCACGAAAGGGTGAACCATATCGATGTTCAGCGTTCCGCGGCTTTTCATTGATTCTGGGGTTACCCGCTTGCCGAAAACGATATGAATGCGGTAAGTGATAACGGCTACAGTTTTTAACGAATTTATTTTAAATTTGATGTGTAGCATCGGGGTCATGAAATAACTTATATCTTTAACATTGAATCTTGAAAAAAACAAAATTTTCATTTTAACTTAGAACTTAGAAGCTCAAAACAGCTGATCTTGAATCCTTTAAATGTGACTTGTTTTCGTCTGATCTACTACAAAACACATCGGATAATCTTGATGAACTCTGTACTCTATACAACACAACTCTTTGAACTCTTCTTGATGAGTATGCTCCAGTCATAACACGAAATGTAAGAATTACTCATGGTATAGACTGCTATAATGAGGACGTAGCCCAGGCAAAAAGGTGTCCTAGACAGGCAGGAAGAAAATGGAGGTCATCACGACTAGAAGTACACAAACAAATATACGTAGATGCAAGACACAAATTCGCATCCACTGTGAAATTATCCAAATCTGCATTCTATTTGAAGACCCTCAATGACAATCCTAATCATTCTCATGCTTCCATGAAGTCTCTTGCAAGATCAAAGACGTCATATTACCCCATTCAGATGACCCAATAGAACTTGCAAACTCATTTTCAGAGTATTTCATATCAAAGACTTAGAAGATTCGTGATGAATTATTTGAGGTTTATAACAGTGAAACGATTACGCCACACCATTCCGTAGTAGATGGACTATCCTCTTTTACACTATTTGAAACAAAGGAGGTGTGTAAACTAGTCAAATCTGCGAAGAGTGATGAATGATCTTCTGTCTTCTGTTGATACTATCGACTCTCTGCCTGCTAGACCTTCCTGCTGCATTTTATACGGTTCACCATCAGGTACTCACCAGCCTATCTGATTATAACACAGATCCTATTTCGTTTCGTTTTATATAGTTCAAATTTCGTTTTATTTGTCTGTACTAATCAGAGTTGTTATATAACCAGCGTTCCGGGTGGCGTGAGGGATAAGCCAGTGAAACCATCTGTTACAGCGACTTCTTGGCGTGCGATGCACGTAACTGTGGGTAAACCACTAGAAACGTCAATGCGGATTGATTAATGTCTGGCGTCATAGGATCAAACGCGACCTTTTACTACAACCGGTCAGATCTTCATGTAGTGTAGGCCATCGAAAGTATAGAATAAGAAACGAAATATAGATCTGTATTTTAAAGGCTTAATACCACTCTTGTTGTAACTGAATAATATGTCCCAATCTTTATTCTGGTCAACAAATTGTACTATTTAGAATATTTCAATTAATTGATGATACAAATTTCATCTTAACACACCTTATTTAAAAATTTTGAAAAATTCAACATAATGGTTTGAAACGTCTAACGTAAACCTTTTCAAATGAAACT